GATTATGGCCAATACATGGATTCCAATGATCGACTGATGGTTGAGAAAGTACTGGTCGGTTAAACAATACATGGATTCGAATGATCGACTGATGGTTTAGAAAGTACTGGTTGGTTAAAATGTCTCGATTAGTCCCAAATTGCACGTGGAAAGATACATGCACATGCATATTTAGAACAGAAAATAGGATATTTGTTTTCTGCACAATTGGTCACAGATTTTTCTCGTAGGTGGATGAAGGTGCTATTTTTTTGGTTGCACCTCCTGGCTTGAAACATTTGGTTGTAGCGGTGAATGTAGAAGTGAAAAATCCGTGATGAGGGTTATATCATACTATCATATGGACATACATGTGTGTATGTATATTCTGTCTGCTGGTACGACTCGTGGTTCATGCAACAGTGGCGTGCTTCATGATTTGTCTGTTTGTCCTTGTACATCCCTGTGCAACCAGGGAAGTCACATAAAGTGGAAGTATCCGCTGCTTAAGGCAAACATGACAATCAAAGAGCCGTGAAATGGTGAGTAAATTCCAGTACTCTTGAAGATGCAAATAGATGTGTATAAAGTATGACATCTACTTGTATAAACATATACGCCTGTTGGGTCAGGTTCACGTCTCTTCACCTACGATGTCTGTTTAGACATGTACATACAACATACATCCAAACCGATACGCTTACTTCGAGTCATGGCTCACGCACACACGGAAAGCTGCATTTCAGCATCAATTTCACTCATGTATTCCCAGCGTGCCTGTGTCCTGACAGCTTCACTGGAATGGACTGCACGGACAGGTGCACATATCCTACTGGCGCCGCATCCTTGCAGGATCCATACAGCATCATGCGATGTAATTGGAATAGGTATGCTTTAGTCAAAACATATATATATATACATATACATACATACTATATATATATATATATATATATATATATATATATATATATATATACTACACACACACACACACACACACACACACACACACACACATATATATATATATATATATTTGTGTATGTGTGTGTGTGTTTGTGTGTGTAAGTATGTACGCATGTACGCATGGATGTATGTATGTATCCATTAATGTATGTATATATTATAAATGTATGTATGTACCTGGTAAATGTTTTTATACACCTGCGTGCATGTCGCTATGTTCAGATGCATACAATGTGCATCGCGCGTGGTTGTGCATGCGATGTGCTCGGCAGCATAGTCAAGGTCAATCAAGGCTCAAGGTACGCGAACAGTGGGCCATCTCTGCGTGTACTGCGAATTTGTTCCTTGCAACACGTACATGGGTTCTGAACTCAAAACTCTATTTTCTGAAACTCAATAGTTGCCCAAATCTATTTATACAATGGGCCACTTGTAAACCTTGATGCAGTTTGGCGGATAGTGAAGATTTAGTTAGTGTTCTCAACTTCAATCCACTGAACTCCAAAATATTCATTCTTGAACCAAAAGGGCTGATCAAACATGTATATCTATATCCAAAATCTATGCCTTGTAGAACCGACACCGCCTGGGGAGTTTCCGCCAGAACATGCTACAATGGTTTCTACATGGCGCTGGTACCTCAAAACGGTAGGCATATGCGTGTTGATAGACATATGCGTGTTGATGGAGATATCTGAATTGCTACAATGCGTCACTACTTAACCACACCCTTGGTCGTGTGTATGCTCCTAATACTCCGTTAAGTTCACACCTATAGTGAAAATGAATTTGTGGTAGTCTGCAATGATTTGTCCGGAGGTTCGACGGTATCATGTGCGGGTGAATATCTTTGCGAATGGTTTGTGGCGTACATGTGGACCCGTTCGTATACGCTGTGCTCAGAAATCTTATTTCATTGGCATATCCATGATGAATCTCTATCGAGTCCATACCAACTGTCACGCCCAATACGATTCATAGCCAACGATCAATGCCATGTCCGTTTTGATTTCCAGACGCATAACTATCACCGTGCTTTACATAGGTTTTCTGTTTTAACCGGGTTTTCCTGCGCAGAAAACTTTTGGTTCTGATCGAGGACATAGGCAAGAGCGATTCAGAGTTGTACTGAACTTGTATTTTTATTTATTAATTTCATTTGAGAACGCGATTACGGTGCTCACAATTCTGTTTATCACAACCATATTGCTCTAGACGAAGGCAACAACTACTTCTTCGAATGCATCCCATGGACATTGTGTAGACCGGGAGAAATACAGTCTCGCTTGCCTAGCCAAAATCTCGACCGTTTGTGCTCAGGTGTGTTTCTGCTTACATCAGTACGTTGTCGTGAGGGATACTCATAAGCACGGTGCCAATTGATTGCCCTATTGTTACGGTTCATAACTGTGATGTATCTGGTGTTTACCTGACCTAAACCTTGATCGGTCGTGCTGAATCGTTTGTATAGGATCGGTGGGTATCTCTTGGCCTGTTTATGAGTATGCTGAGTGCAGTACGGCTCTGTGCTGAGCTTTCGTATGTGGTACACCATTGGGGCAATGTCAGGTTATTGACTGAATTCGTGTGTGTTTGTATCAGTGTTTGGATGGTTTGTATTGTGCTGTATTTCTGGTGATTGTGTGGAAGATTATCATACGTTATCTTTGTTATTGACTGAGTTCGAGTGTGTTTATATGTGTTGTAATGATTTGTATGTTGCTGTATCTCTGGTAAGGGTGTGGATGGTTATCGTACGCTATCATTTTATCATTTTGGGATTTAATCTGAATTTATAGCGCCAATGCGTCTTTATGTTTTGACGAATGACTTATCTGAGATGCGGTGAAGTGTACTCAAATAGACCGAACCCGTTACATCATTTGATGAATGCACCAGTAGACAAAAATACCGCGCTCCATCCGCATACACGGTAGCATACATATCACAAACATTTCAGTATTCCACATACACGTTTACGCATACACTTTTCCCTCCATATCACATACCACATACGTTTCAGTATACCACATACACGTTTGCGTAGGCATTCATGTACATGTGAATGTGCTCTCTCGCAAATAACTATCGTTGTCCTTTGCTCAGTACAACTCAACGTCACGTTCTACTTCACCGACGACTGGCCTCAACTCAATAATATCGAACTCAGCCAACTCAGCGAACACTTGTTTGGGCCCAGTCAAGTGCCGTTTATCATTGCGGTCAACACGTTTGACAATGTAAGCCTACTACGACTGAGGGATTGTAGTGCATCTTCATGCACATGTGTATTTGTAAAAAAAGAGTCAACCGCACATATGTATTCGATCGACCGGTTTAGCCACTGCATAGGAATGTGAGCGAAGTTTCGTGAACATGTAATTTGAGATGGACATCTGCATATATATATATTTGTGTGTATGCATGTATACATATACGTACAGCAACACGTAATTTTAAATAGACATCTGCATTTATATATATGCGTGTATGCATATATACATGTACGTACAGGAACACGTAATTTTAGATGGACATCTGCATTTATATATATGTGTGTATGCATGTATACTTAAACGTACAACAACACTCAATTTTAAACAGACATCTGCATTCATATATATGCGTGATGCATGTATACATATACGTACAGTAACACGTAATTTTAAATTGACATCTGCATTTATATATATGTGTGTATGCATGTATACATGTACGTACAGGACCATGTAATTTTAGATGGACATCTGTATTTATATATATGTGTGTATGCATGTATACTTAAACGTACAGCAACACGCAATTTTAAATAGACATCTGCATTTATATAAATATGTGTTTGCATGTAAACATAAACGTACAGCAACACGTAATTTTAGCTGGGCATCTGCATTTATATATATGTGTGTATGCAAGCATGCATATACGTACAGTGTATACGTTCGATTGTTCTATGCCCAGTTGCGCGCCATACATCACAGTGGTCGGTAAGTTTATCGGTGTATCTATGCGAGTGCATATAATTCCAGTGATGTAAGTAGACAGATTTTTAGAACCACGCGAGTGGAACCCAACCAGGGAACCTTCAAACCCTAAAACCCTGCAATCTTAAATCTGAAAAACACAGGCGCGCAAAACGGCGTTTAGACGGCAGTCCGACGGATCGGGTTGGACAAGCACTTATCAACATCTTATAATGCCCACCGAGGTGTGTCGGTCTACCTACTGCTCTATGCTGCTGTACACGCACAGGAAGGCGGATACATGTGTATCTACTGTGTTGTTGTTCATACACATGGAAGCAGATGTGTGTGTATATTTACTTTTATGTGTCGTGTATGTACATAAATGCAGATATGTGTGCCTTTGTAGTTGTATGTTGTTGTATATGTACGTGAGGGCAGATAAATGTGTATTTATTGTTGCATGTTGTTGTATATTAGCGTGCATGCAGGTAGGGGTGTGTGCATAGCTGTGCACACATTTATACACTCGACGTGTACATTGGGTTATTTGAAGTGTTTGATCATCATATTTGTGGTTTGTTTATGAACATACATACGGATATATATGTGTTCTTGTATATGCCCTTTGTGTCTTTTTTAAGTCTATGGGTTTTCCATTTCAATAACATTCTGTCTTATTTAAGGCTATGGTTTTACCATTTTGATAGCATTCTGTGTCTTATTTAAGGCCATGGGTTTTCATTTCAATAGCATTATGTGTCATATTTAAGGCTATAGTTTTTCGCCTCAAATACGGCGCTGGTGCGCTTCACTTTAAGTTAAATTGAATTGGCCGTTATTTGGCGTATATGCAAATTTAGAATTTGGACCTAGTTTCCTTATTCGTGACACACCACACTCTACTTTGATACACAGACTCTTTGCCTTCATACTTTGTGCTCGAGTGCTCCTACAGTTGCTGTGTTGTCATCTTTTTTTCATTTTTCTCTCATTTGAAGAGGTATATGTATCTATATATATATATATATATATATATATGTAAATGTTTATGTGTATGTA